GAGGCTTCTCAGGGGCCCAAGGGGCTTCCCAGAAGGCTCAAAGAGGCCTCAGGAAGCCAAAAAAGCTTCCCAGGAGGTCCAATAGGCTTCACAGGAGGCCCAATAGGCCTCTCAGGAAGCCCCAGAGGCCTCCCAGGAGGCCCAGAAGGCCTCCCAGGAGGCCCAAGAGGCCTCCCAGGAGGCCCAAGAGGTCTCTCAGGAGGCCCAAGAAGCCTCTCGAGAGGCCCAAGATGCCTCTCAGGAGGCCCAAGGAGCATCCCAGGATACCCGAGAGGCCTCTCAGGAAGCGTAAGACAGCTTCCCTGGAGGCCCCGCACACCCCGCGCGCCTCGCGCGCCACCGCGGCGCGCGCGCCACGCGCGTCCCGCGCGCCCGCGCGCCGCGCGCGCCCCGCGCGCCCGCGCGCCGCGCGCGCCCCGCGCGCCCCGCGCGCCTCGCGAGCCCCGCGAGCGCCGCGCGCCCCGCGCGTCCGCGCGTCCCGCGCGCCCCGCGCGCCCCGCGCGCCCGCGCGCCCCCCCGCGCCCCGCGCGCCCCCCGCTCCCCCCCCCCACGCCGCCCCGGCCACCATCCCCCGGTTAGCCCTAGTACTACTACTAATACTACTACTACTACTTACTACTACTACTACTACTACTACTACCACTACCACTACCAGTACTACTGCTACTACTACGACTACGACTACTACTACTACTACTACTACTACCACTACTACTACTACTACTATTATTACTACTACTCTACTACTACTTCTTCTACTACTACTGCTCCGACTAGTACTACGACTACTATTACGACTACTAGTACTACTACTACCACTATTACTGCTACTACTACTACTACTACGACTACTACTACTACTACAGACATACCACCTACCTACCTACTCCCTACCGACATACCTACCTAATACCTACCTACATACTTACCTACTACTACTAAGACTTACGACGACTACTAACTACGACGACTAAATACTACTACTACTAACTACTACTCCTACGGTTAGGACTACTACTACTACTACACTACTACTACTTTAACTACTCACTACTACTACTACTGGCTATACTACTTACTACTATACTTACGCTATACCTTACGTACTATACTGACTACTAACACTAATACTGACTACACCCTACTAACTGGCGACCATAACTACACTCGAATTACGAGTTGCTTAATACTGACTACTATATGACTACTACTTGACTACTACTACTACTACTACTACTACCACTACCACTACTACTACTACTACTACCACCTACTACTACTACTACTACTATTACTACTACTACTACTACTACTACTACTACTACTACTACTACCACTACCACTACCACTACCACTACTACTACTACTACTACTACTACATCTACTACTATTACTACTACTACTACTACTACTACTACTACTACTACTACTACTACTACTACTACTACTACTAGTACTACTATCCGTAAGGGCTTCGCCCCCTGCCGCCGGCCCCCTCTCTCGGAGAGTGGGCCATGGAAGAGCTAAGTCATGAGGCTTTGGCGCTGTCGTGCAGCAGTATCGGAACTTCATGCGAGGCCGATTCGCAATCGGCAAAACCAACTGATCACAAGAGGGGTTACCACACAGGGCGATTGGTAAGACGTGTATGGTTTACGAGCTTGGTTACCACACCTTGGGATTAAAGGGCCGAGGGAGTACTCGCAGTTTGGGTTACTACGCCTTGCGATTGATGTGCGTGAGGGGTGGCACCGAATTTCAGAAATGTGGCAAATCCCCTGTGTTTTTGGACCCTGACCCCGCGGATCTGCGTGAGGGGTGGCACCGAATTTCAGAATGTGGCAAATCCCATGTGTTTTTGGACCCTGACCCCGCGGATATGCGTGAGGGGTGGCACTGAATTTCAGAAATGTGGCAAATCCCCTGTGTTTTTGGACCCTGACCCCGCGGATCTGCGTGAGGGGTGGCACCGAATTTCAGAAATGTGGCAAATCCCGTATGTTTTTGGACCCTGACCCCGCGGATCTGCGTGAGGGGTGGCACCGAATTTCAGAAATGTGGCAAATCCCATGTGTTTTTGGACCCTGACCCCGCGGATCTGCGTGAGGGGTGGCACCGAATTTCAGAAATGTGGCAAATCCCTGTGTTTTTGGACCCTGACCCCGCGGATCTGCGTGAGGGGTGGCACCGAATTTCAGAAATGTGGCAAATCCCCTGTGTTTTTGGACCCTGACCCCGCGGATCTGCGTGAGGGGTGGCACCGAATTTCAGAAATGTGGCAAATCCCTGTGTTTTTGGACCCTGACCCCGCGGATCTGCGTGAGGGGTGGCACCGAATTTCAGAAATGTGGCAAATCCCTTGTGTTTTTGGACCCTGACCCCGCGGATCTGCGTGAGGGGTGGCACCGAATTTCAGAAATGTGGCAAATCCCCTGTGTTTTTGGACCCTGACCCCGCGGATCTGCGTGAGGGGTGTCGATTTCGAGCCCCCCCAGCAATTCAGACAACGCGCCCAGGGGGTGCTAAAAATCCCGTTTGGGCCTCCCCCCCCCTCGCGCGGTCAATCAACTAGTTACAGTAACCAGCAAGAAGCAGAACTGTAACACTGGAAACTACAAGCTACAACTGGTACAGGAAACTGCGAATCACGGTCCTGCAGCCTGGTGGCCCCACAAGGGGGCCGGCGGATCTACTCAGCTTCTCTATGTACTAGTAACATTGCTATTACTACTGCTACCACCACCACTACTACTACCATTGCTACTAATGTTTTTTCCCATACCATGTTTACAGGTCTGTCTGCATGCTTATGTCTATGTGTGCTTATCATGTTCTTCTTCTACAGACCGTTTTCTGCCATCCTTCTTGGGCGTCCGATCCGAGAGGGGGCCCCGTGATGGCCAGGGTGCCTCCGGGGGAGCACCAGAGACAAGCAGCCTCTCAAGACAGGCCCACGGGGCCCGCAGGTGGCCCAGGCAGGGCCGCGCGAGAGTCCCACGGCAGATGTCAGCGGGGAAGCATCGACACAGCTACGACAGTAGCGTCGATCCTCAGGAAAAGAAGCCCATCGGTCGTTGGAAGTAGGTCGTTTGGGATTCCCAGATTCCGATGTACTTTATGCACCTTCCTACTTCAATGATCGAGTGGCTTCATCTTTTCCGTCCTCAGGGGGCGGGCGGACACCCAATCTGCTTTCAACGCCTGCCTACTTCATGTTTCTACCTACTTCTTCCGACCGATGGTTCGGCAAATATGGGAAATTGGGGGGGTGAGACGCTCATCCCGAAACCGCGTGGCACCCCGCAGTTGCGAACAAGCGTGATGGGGGCGACGAGGACGTCGGCAGTCTGCGAGGTGCTGAAGAAGTCCGCCGCAGGCGCCTAACTTGTACACATTATGCAGTGAGCCCGCAGCAGGCGTCGATTTTTCCTTAACGCGATGTGGGTGGGTCGCGAGGTGGGTCGCGGGTGGGCCGGTGGTGGTGGGTCGCGGGCTGAGTCGCGGGTGGGTCGCGGGTGGGTCGCGGATGGGTCGCGGGCGGGTCGCGGGCGGGTCGCGGGTGGGTCGCGGGTGGGTCGCGGGAGGGTCGCGGGTGGGTCGCGGGTGGGTTCCTGGCCGGGTCGCGGGGGGGACGACGACAGCAGCAGCAATAGCAACAACAATAACAGCAACAACAGCAACAGCAACAACAACAATCCGCACCGCAGAACCTCACTTCAGCCGCGCGCCCAGCGACTCTTCACTCTGATAAGAACGTATAGCGAATGACCTTTCGGCCCCTTCACTCTGATAAGAACGTATAGCGAATCCTGTGATTTGTGTCGACTTATTGAGGGGGTCTGATGGCCGATGCCGCCGACCCTGAAGCACATCGACGACCAGAAGGAGGAGAAGGAGGAGGACGAGGAGGAGGAATAGGAGGAGGAGGAGGAGGAGGAGGAGGAGGAGGAGAGGAGGAGGAGGAGGAGGAGGAGGTAAGGAAGACGAGGGGGAGGAGGGGGGGAGGTAAAGGAGGAGGAGGAACCCTTGCTGCTTTTCCTCCTGCTGCTCCTCCTCCTCCTCCTCCTCCTCCTCCTTGTTCTCCTCCTCTCTCCTCTTCCTCCTCCTCCAGTGGCCACCCCCGGATCCTTGGCGCGGGGGAGGGAGGAGGAGATAAGAAGAAGGAGGGGGAGCTGTTGGAGTGGGGGCCCTAGTAAAGAAACAATCACATTGCCCCCGGGACCCCCTCCAGGACCACCCCCCGGGACCACCCCCCGGGACCACCCCCCGGGACCCCCCCCCGGGACCCCCCCCTCCCCCGGGAAGGGATCCAAGGGAAGGGCTTCGCCTTCACCTCGAAGAAGGAGGGGGAGCTGTTGGAGGGGGGGCCCTAGTATAGAAAATCTTGTGACTCGTGTCTACTTACTTGCGACTTGCGTGACTCTGGGTCCCTTTAGGATCGTGAGGTGGAGGAGTTGGGATTGGAGGGGGGGGAGGAGGAGGGGTACGAGAAGTCCCGCACTTGCCCACCCCCCATCATCTCTCCGTCCCCCGCCCTTCTCATCCTCGCTCCCGTTCTCCGCATCCTCGCTTCTCTTTTTCCTCATTCTTGCTGCTTCCCCTTCTTCCTCCTCCTCCTCCTCCTTCTCCTCCTCCTCATCGTCCTCATCTTCATTGTCATTCTCTCCTTTTCTTGGATCATCTTCCCTCCCTCCTCTCTCTCTCCCTCTTCCTCATCCTCATCTCTCCTCCCTCGTCCCTCCTTGTTCGCCTCTCGTGGTCCCGCCCCACCTCCTGTACCCTCCCCTCCCCTTGCCTTGGCTAGTGGAGGGCGCGGGGGCGGGGTGTGGGGGGGAGGGACGAGCGGGGGGAAGGAGACCAGCGATCAGGCGTTTGCAACCCAACGCGGCCCAGCCATTGCGGATCGAGCTTTTTGCGAGAGCCATCGGTTCAACCCTCACCTATACAAGCGCCTCACGGCAGACAGTCATACACTCTGTTCATACACATATTTCGTGCCCATGGCGGCAAGGAATTTCCCCATCGTCATGATCGCCCAGCTTCTTCTGCCAACTTGCGGTCGGGAGAGTGTGGCCAACAGCACGGCGTCTGACGTGCATCTGATCCAGACCCATGTCTTCGACCACGGCTCCCGCATGCCAGCGCGCGGATTGCCTGGTTGTGTTGATAACGATACAGGCGCCGTCCACCTTGCAAGAGATCATGCACGTGTGGATGACGTCAGTGGTTGCTCGGATGTCGGGCCGTACTGTGCGGACTCGAACTTGTCGAGCCAAGTTCTGGCAGTGTGCTGCGCCACGTGCACCGAGGGGCCCGATCCAGAGCCGGACGCGGTGCATTGCCAAGATCATTCTGATTGCCAGGATCAGGAATTCTGCTACGATGGTACGTGCGACAGCTGCAGCCAGTGCCAATTCTGCTCCGATGCTGCTTACGTCGACGAGTGTGGGCACTGCGGGCCAGGGTTCCCCTTGCATGAGGTAACCCCTTGTCACTCCCATGAGTACGTGGTCACCAAAGGGGCGCTTACGGTCATACACGCGTGGAAAAATCTGTCTTCAGATGAGCAGCTGCTCTTTCTCGAGAAAAAGTTTGGCGAGCTCGACAAGGATCAGTCTTCGACCCTTGACGTGGACGAGCTAGTGGGAAACCTGATCGGACAGGACCTCGTCGCGATCGAAGTAGCCAACGGCACGCTCAACGCACCTTTCGACAGCGTGTTACTTCCCAGGGCTTCGGTACAAGAGTTTGTGACGAAGCACAGCGCCCGTGGGAATGCGTTCCTGACCCTCGACGAGTGGCTCGCCACAACTTCTCAGCCTGCACAACGAGCTGCATCCCAGAAGGCGTTGCGTGGACCCTCGTGCACCTTCGAAAGCATTTTCTCACTTCCCAGCACGTGCTCGGAAACACAATGGGTAGACAATTGTGGGAACAGTTGCAGCAACAGTTGTTCCAGTTGCCCGAGGTTGGCGCATACCAATTCGAGCTCTGTTGCACGAGTTTCCCGAGATTCGAGCTCTGTTGCGCGAACGTCCCAAGAGCTTGAATTCTGGGGCGGGAGGCGTCGGCGTCGTTGGTGGAGCGTCGTCGAGGATGTGGTAGACACGGTCGTCGATGTGGTTGTTTGCACTGTGAGTTGTGTCACCAATTGCGTGTGGTCATGTTTCACCGAAGCAGTGGAGTATGTGTACACATGCGTGGTCGACACTGTAGTAAATGTGCTCATGAGTTTCGGAGAGTGTCTGTCAGCTGTGGTGGACGCCGTCAACGATGCGGTTGGAAACATGTGCGGTTTCGATCTCATCCCCACAAGCTGTTCCGGCGTTTGGGATTGCGTTTCGGAGGGGGCGAGCAACGCTCTCTCATTCTTGGAATGCGGATTCTCGTTACTGTTGGACGTGCTCGAGAACATGGTCATGGCAAACCTTCGCTGTCTGCCGAACATCGCCGACGGCATCAGGGCGGCTCTATTTCCCCCGGAAGCGATAATTGCTACTACGGTTTTCGAGGCTTTGTGGGATTTCGGAGAGAGGGTCGTGAATGGGATCTACTCAGAAGCAGCGGCCGTGAGCATCGACTTCTGTTGGAACTCAGCTCCCACCGCCGAATTCACTGACTGCGGCGCCTTCGATTTCGTCAGCAGCATGACTATTTGGGACGTGCTTGACGTGTTCGGGATGGCCCAGCGTTTCGCGGATACCGTTGCGAAGTTCACGAATTGCCTTACGAAGACGACAAGCCTCCCGGGGCTTAGTTTCGGCATCCCCACTCCTTTCCTGAACGTTGATTGGACAGGCGGCTCGTGGTGTGCGCCAAGCTTTGTTCAAACTGCCGCCAAAGGAGTCATTGGCGTGTTCAGGTACATCTCTTCAGGACGGATGCTCGATGACCTCATCATTGTAGGTGACAACCTCCTCACCAATCTTCAGACGAGGTTGGAAGCAGTGTTCTGTGATGAAGGCGACTTTACCATCACATTGGGCGTCGACCTCCAGTTCGGATACGCAGTCCTTGGAATCAAGGCCCAGGCTGGATGTCTCAATGGAAGATTCGCGGCCAAGATTGTCGGTTTTGCTACGGGTAGAATTTCCATCTTCGGTTCGCCGTACACGTGGACGCCAAGTGCCTCTGCGTTCTTCAGTATCGGTTGTACGGCGGGGCCCTCCAGCACGGAGTGGTCGTATTGGGAGTCGTCTCTGAACGGCATCCTGGCGTTCGATATTTTCTCGGGGACGGTTTCTTTGCCCCTCTATCCACAGCCGAAGCTCGAGTTTGGCTACTCGTTCTCGCTCAAACTCTGGCCTCAACCAGCTCCTCCCCCTCGCCTGTCGGAGGGGGAGTTCAACAAGACATCGCTGCTGCCGGCGCTGCGCCTCCTCTCTGGGGCTACGTCCGACCCCAGCTTTGGCGAAGACGTCAAGAGCAAGTTCCCAGACCCCAAGCCGATCCTCGAGGGCGCCCGCAACGGCTCGCTGGAAAGGTCCAGCATGAACAGGAGTGCCGGTGACCTTGCCGGCAGGATCGCCATCTCCGTCACGAAGAACTTCTGTTTTACTTGCGACGATTTCGGATCGGAGCCTGCCTGGGTCACGGGACTCTCCAACATGGCTCAGAAGTTCAACTGCGCTGTGGGCCAGGCGATGCAGGGAGCCTCCTGGGGTGCGGTGAGCCTCGCCCAGTGTTTCGCCCTTGTGACACAGTGGGAGGCGGCCGGGAATTATTGTGAGTACTTGTATTCCGACTCGCCGAACGACGGCTCCGGCATCCCGGGGACCACTTGCGCCTGTATGCCGGCCAATGCGATGTCTTCCGGGGCGTGCTCCGCAGCGGTTGGAACCAGAGCCAGCCAGGGGTCTGCGCAGTTCGTGACCTACCGGCATCAGATGCTGACTTGCGAGACTGGGAGCGGAGCGGCCTGCAAGACTTGTGTCACGCCGCAGGACCGAGTGGTGAGAGACCAGTGTGAGACCTGCAACGACGGGCACATGTTGCTCGGCTATGTGTGCTCGGCCTTCACGCCGTCTCCGACGCCAAGCCCGACGACGTATCCGACGCCAAGCCCGACGCCGTATCCGACGCGAAGCCCGACGCCGCAGCCGACGCCAAGCCCGACGCCAAGCCCGACGCCTCTGCCACCCGGCGCCACGCATTCTCCGACGCCAAGCCCGACGCCAAGCCCGACGTCGTTTCCGACACAGTATCCGACGAGAAGCCCGACTTCGTATCCGACGCCGTACCCGACGCCGTATCCGACGCCAGACCCGACCCCCCATCCGACGCCGGCTTTGGCGGATTCATGGGTGCAGCTGTTGGACAACTTCGAATATTACGGCGTCGCTCTGCCCTCATATGTTACACCTATGGCATATGGTTCGTTCACACAGCTGCGAGCAACTTACGTTGGCGGATCCGGCATCTGGTGCGATACGAGGAGATCGGGAGGCACAGTGTGGCAACAGTGCTGCTGTGGTTACACTGGGTCCTTCGAATTCATGAAGAATGGAGGGTACATCGTGTCACAAAGCCAGTGGGGCACGTTGCCGTCCCAGTGCTCAGTGTCTGGGTACACGATCACTTGCAATATCAATTTTGCGCTGTCTAGCGGCGATCTGATCCTCGCCACTTGGATGGAGCCTTCCCGGGGAGTGTCGCTTGCTGACAATGGTGGCAGCATCGTGGTGGACGTGTACGGGTATGGCGCATCGACGTACAGTCCGACGTCCTACCCGACCCCCCGCCCAACGTCCTTCCCGACGGCCTACCCGACGCCAGACCCGACGCTCTATCCGACGCCAGGTCCGACGCCCTATCCGACGAAGTATCCAACGCCAAACCCGACGCACAGCCCGACTCCAAGCCCGACGTTATACCCGACGCCGTTTCCAACGCCAAGCCCGACGGAGAGCCCGACGGCGAGCCCGACGCCGAGCCCGACGGCGAGCCCGACGGCAACCCCGACGGCAACCCCGACTGCATATCCAACGCCAAGTCCGACGCCAAGCCCAACGCCATTCCCAACGCCGATCCCGACATCTGCACCCACCTACCCCCCGCTGGGGGATCTTGCATCATCGGGCACGTGCAGCTGCTCCAGCCCCCCCTGCGGCTGCAACTGCTGGGACTGCACACAAGAGCGTCAAGCTGCTGGCTGTTGCAGCTGCGGGACTGCTTCGAGTTGCGGTTATGCAGACATAGTTTCTTCCGTGTGCGACGGTTGCAATGGTTGTTGGCGCAATGGCAAGTGTGGTTGCAGCACAGATTCGGCTACTTGGCCCTACTACGAGGTGTTCGGTCTCACTTGCTCGAGTGATAGAGGCAGCTACCTGCCCTACCACTACATGTCACCGACGCCAGATCCAACGCCAAGCCCGACGCCAAGCCCGACACCATTGCCACCTGGCGTCACGCAGTCTGCGGCCCAGAGCTCGACGCCAAGCCCGACGCCAAGCCCGACGCTTTCGGAAGCGCAGAAAACATGCGGGTGCCCGAGCCCACCTTGCGGTTGCAATTGTTGGGATTGCACAGAAGCGCGCAAAGCTGCTGGATGCTGCAGCTGTGACGATGGTTGTGGCTATTTCGATCTCGCGGGCTCTAAGTGCACCGATTGCAACGGTTGCTGGCACGGCGGCCTCTGTGGTTGCAGCACAGAGAAGTCTACCTGGCTCTACTACAGGGCATTTGGTCTCACGTGCTCGAATGAAACGGGCAGTTATTCAAGAGGCTCACGCCATTCCGCCGACCCCTGAAGAGGCGGGGAGTCCACGGCTGAGGTGTCGTGGGCCTCTTGGGCATTATCTGGGGACTCTTGTGGGCGTGTTGGGGGCTGTTTGGGGGCCTGGTGGAGTCTCTTGGGAGGCAGTTTTGGAGCGTCTTGGGGCCCGTTTTGGGTCCTCTTTTGGGCTTCTCGGGGGCCTGTTTTGGAGCTTAATGAGGGCCTCTCTTGGGCCGCTTGGGGGCTCTTTGGGGAGAAAGATCTGAGGTTCGGTTCGCGTTCTCCCTCTTTGCCTCTCCGGCGGCCCTCTTGGGGCGATCTTTTGCCGTCTTGGGCTCCTCTGGGCCGTCTTGGAACCCTCTTGGGTCGTCCTGGGGCCCTCGTAGGGGCCTACTGGGCAGTTCTTGGGTGGTCTACGGGACCTCTTGGGCCGTCGGAAGCTCGAGACGACGATAACCTCAGAAACAATCAAACACCTAAGGACAGTCATGGATGTTTGCCTCTCGGTGCCCTACTGGGAAGGCCCTCGGGGCGTCTCGAAGGCGTCTTGGGGCGTCTTGGAGCCACTGCAAGCGTCTTGGGCCAAGCGTTCCGCGATTTCGGGACCGTTTTGGAACGTCTGTAGGGCCACGGAGGTCAGATTTGGAAGCTCCAGAGTTTCCGGATGTGCGCCTGCGAGCCCGGAGATCCAGCCCCGCCCCCCGCTCCCCCCGTGTAAAGAAGACTGGACCCTGGGGGGAGGGGACAGGGGGAGGGAGACAGCCAATCATCTCACACGCCTTCTCACCCCCGGCAAGCATGGATCGGCGGACTTGTCCAATTACGCACGGGTCGCTGGTGAGTACACCACGGAGGAAACTCTTCCAAATGGTGTGACTGAGGAGGACCTCATGAGTTCTACTACATATGTGGCCGCTAAAAAGACGGGTCTGGCCAACGCTCTGAACGTGCCTGCTTCCGACATTGAAATCACGAGTTTCGCCATCACGAGTCATCCCGATCGGATCCCGTTTGCTGCCCGTCAGCTCTCGCAGGACTCACACGTCACCGTGACGACGAAATTCACGGTGCAGATCGCTGGCAGCAACAGCGCCGCATCCCTCACTGCCGCGATTGCTGGAATGTCTGCCGCCGTTGAGGCCGAGACGAACTTGGCAATGGCTGCTTCTGACTGGAGTGGTGAGCCTGTTATCACCGTGGCCCCTAATTACGCTGACGGCTCCCTCCGTCGGCGCCGCGGGTTCGACTGCGGGAGTCACCAGTGCTCCCACGCCGGTTCCCGTGATCATTGGGGCCAACATGGGCGCCGTCGCGGGCACTGGCGACCCCCATCTGCAGAACATCCTCGGCGAGCGCTTCGACCTCATGCAGGCTGGCAGGCACGTCTTGGTCCAGATCCCGAGGGGCGCGCGCTCCGAGGGCACCCTGCTGCGCGTCGGGGCGGAGGCGCAGAGGCTCGGGGAGCTGTGCGCGGACATGTACTTCCAGGAGGTGAACCTCACGGGAACGTGGGCGGAGGCAAAGCAGACTGGTGGCCTCCGGTACTCAGGGGAGGAAAAGGTACCCACACCGCTGCCCTTCTCTCGGTTCCCACTTTTTGGGCCTCCCGGGAGGCCCTCGTCGCCACGGCTGGATTCGCCTCGAGACTCTGGTCGGAACGCTCCCCGGGAGAGATCTGGGGAGTGGCGGTGTGGGTATCTCTGTTTCCCCAGGTACCGCGCAGCAGAGGCCAGCACCGAGGATGCCAGGTGGATGCAGCTTGGGAGGGTGGACCTCAAAGTCGTTCACGGACGCACGATGGAGGGGTTCCGTTACCTCAACGTCTACGCGAAGCACCTGCGCCGTGCCGGGTTTCCTGTCGGAGGCCTGCTGGGCGAGGACGACCACAGCAAGGAAGCGACCTCCCCCCAGAATTGCAAGCACCGCCAAATGAGCCTGCTGGAACCGCACCACGGCCCGAGCAGGCCGGCCGCCTCCGGCATGGAGCCCAGCTGGGCCAGCCTGGCCTGAGCTGCGCGCCCCGCCCCTTTTGATCCTCCTCCCCGGGCTGGGCGCATGCATGGCCGGCTTCGCCACCACCTCCGCCGCAGGGCCCGTCGCGCAGCCTGCCTGCCCTGGCCTGGCCACCCCGAAGACCGCACCCCTGCCGCGGCGCGCCACGGCCTGATAGGGGCCCTTCGGCACTCGTGCCCCCGGCCACAGCACGGGGGCGCCGCGGCCCCCGGACCAGGGCCCGGACGGCACGATCGCTCCCCCCCCCCCCGGCGGCCCCATCTCGTCCCTGCCCTGGCGGCCTGCGGTGCCAGGAACCCAGAGATCCAGCGCATTGGAAAAATCAAGACGGATGCGTTTCCCCAGTCTCGGCCTCTATCGAGGCCCTCGCCAGGCCCCGGGACCGTCAAACAGCGACTCAGGATGAAAGACCGGCCCGGGGAAAAGGGTCGGGATTGCCCGGGACCTCGCATTGAAAAAATCACGACATCGGATCTCTGGAAAAGGGGGCCCGATTGAAGAGCTTGGAAACGTTCGAAGGTTGTCGAAGGTTGCCCTAGTGGCCAAGAGAGCTCTTACGAGCTCTTACGATGCCGATGGGTGGCCCCAAGCAATGATTTGTTCGAAATTCCCAGAGAGTGCTTGCACTCATGTGGTTCGTATTCGCTTGTCTGAGGGAAATCGGCCTGCGGGTCGGTCTGGCGGCTGTGTCGTCGCCGTCGCCGCCCCGTCGCCGCCGCCTCGTCGCCGCCGCCCATCGCCTGGGCCTGCGGGTCGGTCTGGTGGCTATGTTGTCGCCGTCGCTGTGTCGCCGCCTCGTCGCCGCCCGTGTTCTAGGCCTGCGGGTCGGTCTGGCGGCCACGTTGTGACCGTCGCCGCCCTCGTCGCCGCAGTCAGCACTGCCCCACATATATTTCACAACATCGATTGCACGACATTGATTCCACAACACACATTGCACAACCCTCCAGAGTGCTCTCCAAAGATTGCGCGACCTAATATGTTGCTCACCGCATGCTTTGCACAACGTAGAGTGCGCACTGCAGACATTCTGCTCTCTAAAATTAAAAGGAGATAGGTTCTACCACCCTCCCCCCCAGACTTATCCATTCCCCGGGAACCGATGCACAACACTTATGATTTTGACCAATGTCCATCCTAACAGTGAATTCGGACTATCCCAGCCAGGCCGGTATCAGTCCCCCCTTGGCTCCCTAAGGCCCTTGCGCTTATCAAAAAACCATAAGTTTTCAATTATCCCTTGCAAGAGCTATGACGAAGTTCACACGCGCGATTCTTCGCGCACGCATGCCGAAGTCCTTCAAAAACTCTCGGTTTCAGAAGGATGTCAAAATCGAGTGTCGACAACACATAACAACACAGGGTTTCGCATCTCGGATTTTCAGCAAAAGTGTGCGCGCGCTCTTGCGAAATCTTTTCGAAAGCCATACGTTTTTCAACATTTTCATAGCATGCTGCCAAACGGGCTTTGCGCGCGCGCATGTCGAAATCGTTCGAACGCCCTTGCGCGCGTGTTGGCACGATCAGTGTCAAATAGTACCATGCCGCTCTCGCGCGTCTGCCGCGCGTGCATTTTGAAATCCTGCCAATACCTTCGTCGCCGACGCGAAGACGCCGTCATCGTCGTCGGCGTGATCAGCATCGGCGCCGTCACTGGCTGCCCCGTCGTCGCTGTCAGCATCGCCGGCAGCATCGCTACTATCATCATCGTGTCTACCGTTGTCGGCGTTGCCATGGTCCCGCGCCCGCCTAAGTCGCCGACTCGCACTGAAGTGTCCGCTGGGATGTGTCGAGCGGTCAGCGCCACCGCGTTCGCGTCGCCCGCGCCAAACTAGCTGGCCGCTGCGCGCGCGAGCATGCGCGGGCTAGCGCGGCCGCACACGTTACGCACCAGCCAACTTCCAGCGCTCATCGCAATCGCCCCCGCATGGGCTACGAACCAAGTTGCGGGTGGGTGGGTGGGATGACTGCGCGAGCAGTGGGGCTGACCATTTCAAGTTCGGCAAGTGAACTGCACCACGTAGGTTGCACCACGTAGGTTGCTTCACACCGATTGCGCTACATAGACTGCGCACACATTATATTGCACACCGTTGGCTTTACATCAAAACGTGCACCGCGTCCTTTGCACCACATGGCTTGCTCCACGCGGATTGTACACTATACGTGTTTGCATATGTATGAATATGTATGTACGCATGGATCGTGTCTATCTGATTGCGCAAAATGTACTGCACCACGCACATTGAATCTAATTGTTCGAAAACGCCAACGGCGTGCCACCGCCGCCCCCTGCCTTCTAGAATCGCCCATGTGCCCGAGCGTTGTGGCAAGAGCCCCGCCAATCGGTCCATGTCTTCCCCCAACCGTTGTGAACATTTGGGGAGGAAGGCGGGGAATACCAGGAGGAGGCGGAGGAGGAGGTGGAGGCGGAGGAGGAGGAGGAGGAAGAGGAGGAGGAGGAGGAGACTGAGGGGGCATCATGGGAGCCTTTGGGGACACTCTTGGGGCCTCGTGGGAGCCTCCTGTGAGCCTCTTGGAGGCATCTTGGAGGCCCTCTTGGAGGCCACCTTGGAGGCCCTCTTAGGGGCCTCTTGGGTCCTCTTTGGCCGTCTTGGTGGGTTCCTGGTCCGTCTGACGCTGTTGGAAACCGTCTTTGGTGCTTCTCTGGGCCGAGTTGGGGCCTTCATGGGGTGATCCAGGGCCGTCTTAGAGGCCATCTTGAGCGAAAAGAAGCAAATGCCAACATCCTTCAAACACCTACGGCTGATCAATGATATTATCTTTTTCGGGCCTCCTGGGTGCCCTCTTGGAGGCCTCTTGGGCCGTCTTGGGCCATCTTAGGGCCATCTTCGGCCGTCTGAGTGGGCTCTTGGCCCGTCTGACGCCGTCAGAAGCCGTTGTGGGGGCCTCTCTGGGCCGACTTGGAGCCCTCTCGGGGTGCCCTCTTGGGCCGTCTTGGGGCCGTCTTGGGGGCCTCCTGGGCCGTTCTGGGGCCATCTTGGAGGCCTCTTGGGTGATCTTGGGGCGATTTTTGGGGGCTCTTGGGCCGTCTCGGGCCGTCGGAAGGCCGAAAAGAAGCAAATGCCAACATCCTTCGAAAACCTACGGCTGAACAACGATTTTGGCCTCTTCGGGCCTCCAGGAGGCCCTCTTGGAGGCCTCTTGGGCCGTCTTGCGCCATCTTAGAGCCATCTTGGGCCATCGTGGTGGGCTCCTGGCCCGTCTGACGCCGTCGGAAGCCGTCTTGGGGGCCTCTCTGGGCCGACGTGGGGCCCTCTTGGGGTGCTCCTGGGCCGTCTTGGAGCCTTCCTGGGGCGAAAGGTCTTGGGCCGTTCTGGGGCCATCTTGGGGCCGTCTTGGGAGCCTCCTGGGCCGTTCTGGGGCCATCTTGGAGGCCTCTTGGGCGCTCTGGGGGCGATCTTGGGGGCTTCTTGGGCCGCCTTGGGCCGTCGGAAGGCAGAAAATTAGGAAATACGGAAATCCTTCAAAAACCTGCGACAAATCAATGATGTTAGCCTCTTCGGGCCCTCCTGGCGGACCTCTCGGAGGCCTCTTTGGGCCGTCTTGGAGGCCTTTTGGGCACCTTTTGGGTACTTAGTCTTGGGCCGTCGTGGAGGCTTCTTGGGCGGACTTGGAAGTATCTTGGTTCCTCTTGGGCCGTCTTGGAGGCCATCTTGGCCTTTTCGGAGTTATCTTGGAAGCCAGCTTGGGCCATCTTGGAGCCGTCTGGAGCAGGAAAAACCTTGGCAACCGGGTCTTCCGAGTCTTTCCGGGTGGCCGGCGGGACGGGCCAGAGCCCCAGGGGAGAGTCCTTTTGGAAAGAGAACCAAGACCCAAACCGAAAGGGTCTACCACGCCGGACACCCTTGTGACAAGGACAGGGAGCGGCGGATCTAATGACCTGCGGTCCATCCCGCCACCGTGCCTGGGTTGTGGGTCAGAGAGTTGTCAGGGATGCTTCTTCGGGTCTCTTCTGAGCGCGCTCGGGGGCCTCCCAGATGGGGTCGGAGCAGATGGGGTCGGAGGATCGTGCCGCATCGCCGATGCATCGGGGATGCTACTCGATGTGGGGCCTGACTTTCTCCGAGCTGGCGTCGCCGAGGCATCGCCGACGCCGCTGGTGTCTTCGGGGAAGGCCCGGAAAACTCCTCAGAAGGCCTGGGGAATTCCGAATGTTTTGGCCTTCTCACCCCGGTAAAGGGGCCCAGGCACACACACACGAATACATCGACACACATCCCAGGATTCCCTAGGTTCTGTAGTATTTTCTGGGTCTTGTTCTTCCCCCTCACTTCCCATATGCTCCCGGGAGTCGGCGATCCATCGTGTCTGGTGCCCTGGCCCACGGGGCCCATCGCTGCCCCTGGCCCCCGCTCAAGCAGTGGCGAAGCGTCCTGGCTCCCCCTGTAGTCTTGGCTCGCCCATTCAGTCGACCCGCAGAGTAAGGATAGGCATCCCTCCCAAGGGTACCCTTGCATCCTTGCTTTCTGGGTCCATCCTTGGACACTTTCGTTGGCCGCGCCCCGCTCGAAACGCTTCGAAATGGGCGTCTAAGGGCCTTGCATCCTTCTCGCGCATTCTTACTCTGCGGGTTGTCTGTAGTCCACCCAAAGAATGTTCTAAGAACCTCGTGTGGTTCCCACGAACTGTTCTTCGAACCTTTCTGGCCGATGTTGTGTCCGTTTTCGCACAGCGGGCTCATGCTCTAAGAACGCTGTTCTTGTTCTCAGAACATGCCTGGGTCCCAAGAGCATGCCGTGGTAGGCCTATAGGAGAATGCCGGGACGGTCGGCCCCTGCTCAGTGCCCGCAGTCCTGCGGGGGGCCCCGCTCCCCCCCCCCCTGGCCCGCGGGACCTCGCCCCTGCTGCCCCTGGCCTGCGACCCTGCCCTGGTGCGGGCCTCCTCGGCCGGGGGGGGGGGGGGCCCTCGGGCAGCCGCGCCCGCCGGGGCCCGCCTGGACTGCAGTCGGGCCTGTCCCTCTGCAGGAGGAATG